TATTAATAAACACTAATATAAGCTTTAAAAAAGAAGGAAAAAAGAAAGCTTTTGATTTCTACTTCTAACCTATTTCTCTCCCATTTTTCTTATCAGTAAATGACATGACCAACCTCCCAGATGTTCAGATGTCTGGGAATTATTTTTTAGTCCTTCTTCCTATAACCAATAAAGCAAGGGTTCCTGTCATTTCTACCTACTAAATATCTTTCAAATCCTTCTTGTTATGCTTCCAGTTCTTCATTGCTAGGATATAGAAATACAGTTGATTTTTGTGTGCTTACCTTGCATCCAAGCTAATCTTCCTTACTAGTACTGAGAGCCTTTCTTATTTTCTTTGTAGATTCTTTGGGAATTTTTATGGAGACATTAATGTCTTCAGAGAATAGATCATTTTATTTCTTCCTTTTCAATCTTTATGCTTTTTCTTTTTCTTCCTGTTTGCACCGACTAGGACTTCCAGCATGATGTTTTGTGAGAGTGGTGAGAGCAGACCTTCTTGCCCTGTTCCTGATCTTAGGGTGAAGGCAGTCATGACGTCTTTCACCATGAACTATGATGTTCTCTGTATGTATTTTATAGATGTCCTTTATTCAGTTGAGGATATTTCTCTTTTTAGTTTGCTAAGAAATTGTATTAGACAGTGTATCTTAAGACTGTTTGGAAAACAACCAAGATATTAATGCCTGCCTTTATGAATATTGACAAAAATAAATCATACATTTCATGGTAGCACTACTACAAATAGGACTAATTTCATTTTCAAAATTTGTTAAAAATGTTTTCAATACCTTGCAGTTTTCCTCACTTCCTGTGTCATTCCCACTCAGGGTTCCCCTCATTGGGGGCAGGTGTTTGTTGACATTAGGGTCCTTCTTCTTTTGGTACCTACTTCTCAACAGTTGCCTCTTACCACCTTGGATACCTACCCAGAACAATCCTTCTCTTTCCCTCTTCTAAGTCATTTCTTGTCTTCTTGTCATGTCTTCCCTTCTTTCCCTCTCTCCCTTCCTATCCTTTCTTTATGTGCATCCTTTCTGTGAAGCACCAATCCCTGCTCGAGACAAACCCATGGAAGCTCTGTATCTTTGGCCAGTATTCCATTTTTTTCTGTTCATGATGCTGGTGACATTTGGCTTTGGGTTCTCATACATTCACTACCATACTATGACTTTCTTTTAGGAAGCCATGCTAAGATATGCTGGAGCTCTGTTAATGCTGAAGTGTTGTTGTTATTCTAACCCTAAAGAGATTCTGATATACATAAGCCTGCTTGACATCATGCAAATGTTTTTGTTAAGCTTGACTTTTTATGATCTAGAATTTATTGTTACTTCTAAATTCTTAACTAAAAATTATTTATATCTCTGGGGAATGTTTTCATTCCTTCAGAAATGATTTACTGATTGTTATGCACACAAAGTGGGTTACTGGTAAAAATGGAAGAATTTTTTCTATTTGTGGGGGGTGGGATGTGGAGGGAAGATAGGTAACATTTTTACATACTTATTTGTATCAGACTCTTGGACATTATTATCTTGGTATGAATCCTTTTAGCCATTTCCAAGGTATGGGAATTATCATTCTTATTTCATATATAAAACCAAAGCTCAGCGGAACTAAAGGACTTACCCAAGGTCAGGCAGCTTATGCGGGATAAGAGCCATGGACCACACCCAGGTCACACTGACTAGACCTCCAGCACTTGTGACTTTGTGTGAGAGATATATAGAAAGTGCTGGAAAATCTAGACACGCAAAAACCTCCTCTTTGAGGAGATTCAGGGAAGTTAGGATTCATGTTTTCTAACAAGTTATGAAGGGATAGTTGTGATTTTTCCCAAAAACAGCATCCCCTGAAGTTTGGAAACAAACATCCCATTCCTGTGTGTCATGTCCAACTCTTCATTGTAGGTTGCTTTGTGAACACGGTCTCCTTCCCAGGTTTTGAGTAAGCCTTTCTTTTGAAGTGTTAGTTCTTAACTTTTCTGCTTATGGTCATAAACTTCTCAAACATTTCGTGTATCTGCCTCAGTTCATATGTGAAGGGCCTTGACGAATGCCCTTTGAAAATCAAGAACAGGAGATGCTCTGTACCCCCAATGTATTGTAAAGTCCTCATCTTGTGGATCAGTGTGGCCAAGAGAAGTTCCCTTTGGGAGCTAGGACTTTAGTTTGTGATCAAGACACCATAATGAGAGGCAGCTTTCTGAGCTGAGTTCAAATCCTGACACCTCTGCTGGTTGTCCAGTGGAAGTGAGTTAATGCACACACAGCTCTGGGAACAGTACCTGGAAGTATGTGTGCTAGTAAATATCGGCTATGATTGAATATCCCAAAATCCCCAAGCCAATGTGAATAGAAAGGAGGGAAAGCGAGAGGTCGCTTTGAGGTCTTTTAAAAAACATGTAACATAGTAGTGACTTAGTCCACAGGGACCCTTTGAGAGGGCTTGTCATGTTCAAAGCCACAAAGGATTTGCCTTCCCTAAACTGGCAGTCTATTTACATGGGAAAGAGCTGACCAACAGTCTTAGAGAAGATTATATAAGTCGACACAGATACCTGCAGTCCAGGTTCAGCTAAAGAAACAACTTCAATCAATGACACCTTCAAACTGCAAGCCCCAGGGACAGCCCAGACCAGCCATGAGGCAGACGCTGACTGGAAACAAATCCCAGCACCCCTGGGAGAGAGACCTCCCTCTCCTGTGCAGGTAGGACAAGCTTCTCCCTGAGGCTGTGGCTATCTGGTGGGGCAGACTGGGCTTTTAGACCCCTGCTCCTGCCCTGGGGGTCAGCCAGCCTTTCCCAAGCCAATGCCACTCGTCCCTGGAAGTCACAAGTGGCTTAGCTGCAGCCACCTGCCTGACTTCCTTTGAATCTTCTTTAAGTTCGAGGATCCTGGGGCTAAAACACCTCTCTTTTTTTTAACTTTGATTCCTTTTTAAAAAATTGAAGATAGTACATAAGTTTGGAGAAAGATAGGAAGGAAAGAAGAAAGGGAGAAAGGAAAGAATGTAGTATAAAGAGTTCTAAGCCAGATGTAAGTCTCTCTCACTCCTCAGTTCTATCTCCCATATTTAATCAGAGTCAACAGTTTTCTTTGAATCTTTGGAGAAGTTTCATCCATAATACATGAATATGTGTAAGGCTTTAAAAAATTTATATGTGATTTTAGTCCTCTGTGCCTTACATTTTTAACTTAATATATATTAATGATCTTCCCAGAGCATCAATACAGATCTCCTCTTATCGTGTTCTTTATTTATTTTATTAAGATTAAGTACAAAATTTTTTCAGTGAGATACTGAGATGAATTCTTATATATCTAACAATGTAACTAAAAGTAAATGACGTGAACCTTGGCAGAATTACAAGGAGAGTTGGGTTGATCCACAATAACTGTGATGACTTAACCAAATCTCACAGAAACTAGTACAGATCAGCATACCAAAAGAAAAAAAATCGTGACATGGGAGATTTGAACCCCACCATTCATGAGTTTGAGTGAGTGGAAATATGAGGAACTCAGTGTTCAACTATTCAAGAAGGCATATTCTTTATAAGCTCACATGGGCGATTGAGAGAATCTGGTGTACACAGCCATGAAGGAGATCTCAGTCACAGTAATCTTGTAGCTGTAATTTCTGAAAGGGTTTTGTCATTTTCCTCCATTTCTTTCCTGAGTTCTCCCCTTTCCTATTCTACAACTGCGTAGTTTAGGGCTGTCTGGACTCCAAATGTCTTTATTTCTGTTTTCTGGTCTTCATAAGTTGTAATTGCTTTGTAAGAATTTTTTGCTTTCTTTTGAATTCATGATGGAATGTTCGGAGTAACTTTTGTCTGCTTATGCAGCATTTTTTAGGTGAATTTTCATCATCCATGGGGAAGGTGAGCTACTCTTTTTCATCATTTTTCTTATGTTGTCTTTGCCTGATACTGAGCACATTTCTCAGGACTCACATGGTGCTGGAAGTATATCCTGTCCCTGCTTTGCTTTTCTCAGTAACGCTTAATAATATCTGATCCGGATGGGTGTGCATCTATAATTTACTTGACAAATTATCTGACTCCTCAGTACACAGGGAAGGATTTGTATCTCTTCGGCTCTCAGCTTATCTTCAGTACCCAAATCAGTGCCTTTTACATAGTCCGTGCTCAATAAGTCTTTGTAGAATAAATTAGAATAGAGAGGCTCAAAAACATAGATGTAGAATTGAATTGGTCATTTAAAAATCCATTTATTAAAGCTTTAATATGTTACCATGGGAAGTGTGGAAGCCAGCCATCTGAGGGAGGTGGGTTCTGGTTGCCCACATGCTTTCCACCTCTTTGTCCAAATAATAATTTCCCTTTTGAATCCTGTGGGCCGAGGGGGAGTGGGGATCAGCTTGACATCAAGATGCTGTGCCCTTGTGCCCTCCTGCACTATTGGGGGAGTAAAAAGGGCCTCTTCCCTTGTAGAGGGCATCTGACAAGATACACATGTCAGTTGATCTAGCAATTCATTTTCTAAGTAATTTTCCTATAAAGGTCGTCACACAGTCTGCAACTCCATGTGTATGGTAAGGAAAACTTAAATAGCCATTGATGTGGGATGAGCATTCAAAGCTGGGTCCACACATCACAGGGGTACACATGATATACCATTGAGATAGGGAAGAAAAGTTAGAGCCATCTGTCTTTTGTGTTCATAGAAATAAAAGGTGGAAGTGAAGTCTCACTAATATTTAATATCAAGATTGTACAATAACTCAGCAGCGTGGGGCAGATGGCCACTAGACAGAATTTCTAAGGCATCCAGAGGAAGGAAGGGAATTGTTCAGCTCAAAGGGACAGACAGTTTCCTACCTCATTTGCTGGTTTGCTTTTAGCATGTGTCTACTTTTTGCAGTTTTCTTGTGCTGGGTTAAGTGTATTTCTAAATTATTCTTAATCTCATGTCAGTAAATATGTAAGCAGCCTCTGACCATCTCAGGACATGACCCTCACTCTTCCAGGGATGCCCTGGCGGAAGGAGCAGACGGAGGACCTGCAGCGAGTGCTCAGGGCAGTCGACAAGGAGATTCCACTGGTCATTGTCAGCGGCAACCACGATGTGGGCAATGTCCCCACGGCCGAGACCATCAAGGAGTTCTGCCAGACCTGGGGAGACGACTACTTCAGCTTCTGGGCCGGGGGCGTCCTGTTCCTGGTCCTCAACTCCCAGTTCTTGTATGATGCCTCCAGGTGCCCTGACCTGAAACAGGCTCAGGACCAGTGGCTGGACCAGCAGCTGAACATTGCGAGACAATGGCAGTATCAGCACGCCATTGTCTTCCAGCACATCCCATTGTTTCTGCAAAGCATTGATGAGGACGATGACTACTTCAACCTCACCAAGTCTGTCCGGAAAGAGGTGGCAGACAAGCTCATCAAATCAGGTAGTGACCCAGGGCCACAGGTGTCTAGTTGGAAGAGCAGTCTAGAGAGGGCTTTTCCAAATCTTTTTCCCTCCCCTTGGCAACACGGCAAAGGAGAGAGAGGACAAGGCTCTGGATTCTGACCCCAGCTGTACCACTCACTGGCTGCATGGCTGCCTAATCCTTCTGAGCCTGTTTCCTCATCTGCAAAATAGGAATAGTAGCAGTAGCTTTCTTACAGGATGGTTGTGAAGATTAAATGAGAAAAATTCTGCAAAACATAGAAAATAGCCCCTAGCTTCCCAAGGACCAAATGTATGGTAATTGCTCACAGTTGAATATGAGAGTTCTGGAGGTAAGGGGTGGTAGGGGTGAGGGTGGTCTGCAGGTGGATATGAATGGGGTTGTATGTGCCTCGGTTGAACAGGAGATGTTAGGGATGTTTTTTCTCATTTCTCTGGGAAGTAAGTACTTGCTCCAGAGCAGGTGATCTTTTAGAGCCAAGTATTAGTCAGCTATAACCCAGGAAATCCTGGGATGTGGCTTTTGCATACAGATCTGGGTCTTCTGCAGTGTTCCTGTAGTGAGGTAGATTGAGTTCTCTTCCAGAATCGGGAGAAAGGAATGTATTTCATTCCATCTTACCCTGGATTTTTAGCTGATCCTATGTGTGACACATGCATGCACACACAGAATAAAGACACTCCATTTTTAAGACCTCAGCTTCTGACAGCTTGCTCTATAGACCAGCCCACCCCTCTCTATCTCCTCCTGGTCACACCTCCAGTGGGCCTGGAGAGAGAAGACAGGTTGATTTCCTGGGTTCCCAGTGACTTGATGGGATTCCAGTTCTGACAACTGTTGTGTCTCTTATCTTGGTCTTAATTGCTCCTTTTGGCTCTTTTCAGGCTTTATTTGTACCAAACACTTCTGAGGTTTAAATTTATTTGCTATGGGGTAGAGAGATAGAGGGAGGCATCCTGACCCGCTAGTAAGCATTTGTTTAAAAAACAAAATCCTGATACTCTGCTTTTTCATCTTTGAGCTTTTGCATTTGCTTGTGAAAAGTACAATAGACCCTTCTGTATTTTTGAGACATTTTACAAAAAAGCTCCCATAATTAGAGCATTTTCCAACTGTTCCATGGAGATGAAGTTGGAAAACTTCTATTAAGGCCTTTGAAATTTCATGTCATGCTTGAGTTGGTACAGAAAACCATTTTTGATGACAAGGAAACAAAGTGTCAAGATGACATCAGCACCACCATGGAAACTATTTTGTCACAGAGAATAAAGTCAGAGAGAACATTTAATGCCACTGAAAAGATTCCTTTCAAATCAAATGTTAAATGATGCAAATGCTGCTGCAGTGACTGCCCTTTGTTCCTTGGACTTGTCAGCCACTTTCCTGAGTGGCTCATGTTTTGGATTGTCCCATCATAGGACAGAGAAGCCCCAGATATTAAGACCCACAGCTCTAATAGGGCACCCTCAGGAGAAGCCTGCTGACCACTCCTCGCAAGAGTCCCAGAGGGTGGCACCATGTCTGGCATGTACCAGCCCCCCTGCCCAGGACTGCAGCCCCGCAAGCTCAAGAACCAGAGTTGTCAGCACACCCAGAGCTGGTCTGTGTCTCTAGGTGAGCCCCAGTGAGCCCAGCCTTACAGAGACTGAAATCTACAACCAGAAGGCCCGTCAATTAATGTAGAGCAAGTCTCTCACCTTCCACTCCACCCCAGCAGAGTGGTTTCTTTCCATAGGCAGAGCTCCGTGAGAAGCCAGATTATAACCAGGAGGTTGCTTGTTAAGATGAGACAGAGCAGGGATTTTGTTTCCTTAGTCCAGTGACTTCAGGTTGCGGAATCCGGATGGCTGCAGAATCCAGATGACTCTGTCTTCAGGAGCCACCTTGCCTGGGAGCACCTGGTTGTTTCATGTCCCTTTAATTCTACCCCCTTGATCTTTCTCCAGTCCGTGCATTTCTTCAGGCCCTCATGGTCCCATCTGGGTCCTGGCAGTAGCTCCACTCTTGCCTGTTCTAGTACATTCTCCACCCAGCAGCCAGTGGGGCGTGTGACTACACAGCCGGAAACCCTCTGGAGGCTCCCCTGGCCCACATGTAAGGCCCAGCTCCTCATCACAGCATCTGGTGCCCTTCCTAGTTGTGTCTCCTTTCCCTCCAGCCTCCTCTGCTTCACCTGGCCAGGCCATCTCAACTTTGACACCTTCTTTATGAGGTCCCCGTAAATTCCCCATCCCCGGTCAGGGCATCTTCCTCAACTTTCCTTGATCCTATCACTTGATGAATTTCAAAGTATTGACTTGCCCGAATCCCCCACTAGACTCTTGGCTTCTCGAGGACAGGGATGGTGTTATATTCATCTTTGCACTGGGGAGGCCTGGCTCAGGCATTTGCTCATCATATTTCCACAGTATTTGTTGAATGAATGAAGGAATGGAAGTGGCCCACACTCCTGCCCTCAGTGGTGACTGGCACAGCTTGTTTGTTTAACAACATCTGTATGCCAGGCACAGGGCAAAGCACATCTTAGTGTGTCCAGACCACGAAGCTCCCAACACGCAGCCTCCACAGCCTTGAGTCTCAGGGAATTCTCTTGTGCATGTTTCTGCTCTGGTCCCCATGCTGGTTTTCCAGGGTCACTCAGCAGTCTGTCTCTCTTCCCAGGCACCCCCCTCTGTACTGTTTCCTCCAGGCACCACCTTCATGTATAAGAAAGTGCCTCTTCTTGGTGCCTGGCCTGCGGGTCTTCACTTAAGCGTGCTTCACCAGGGAAGACCAGAGAGATGTGCTCCCTTCCTGCAGTCACCTGTCAGTTTTAGTGGCTTGCCAAAAGCAGGCCTTTTGCTTAACGACCCTCCAAACAGAAAAAAACCTTGGGTAGCACTAGACAGAGATCTAAATTAGAGGCAGTCTCAGGTCTGCCGCAGGCTGAGCTACCTGCTGGGTTGGAAGCATAGGTGGGTGGGCTCTTGTGGGGCTTGTACACATCTGTGACTCAGTAATGCAGAATATGGCTCGGGTCACAGCAGTGTAATTAGAACTCATTTTGGAAAACCAGAAGTTCAAGTGATATTTTGTAAAATTCACTAACTTAAAGACTGGAGTACTATTGGGGGCAATGAAGGCAGTTGGTATTTAATATTGCCTCCAGCTTTTTTCCTCCACAGCAATATTACTCTGTAATACTATTTCAGTCTCATTTATCTCCTTGTGCTAAAATGCCAGTATTCAAAAATATGTCAAAAGCTCATCAGAATATCAGGGTAGCTTTTAATTATGATAATTGTGTTGTTATAAAATATCCTTTTAAAGAGTACATCCCTCCTCAAACTACCATGGAGGTAAAAACTCAGCTTCCCTCCAACCAGCTTAATGAATAATTCTGAATCATTGTGTGGGATGAATAAATGATTTAATAATGAGCATCAACAATCATCTCTCATTGTCGCACTAATTTTTTTTAAATGGGGTGAGGCAAATGAAGAGGAAGGGGTGTTACTGTACAATGGGCCACTGTGATTGTAGAGTCGAAACCCACCAGCTTCCAAACTCAAGTTTCCCTAGAAACAGATGCATCCTGTTTCTACTTTTGAAGCTTAATTTTTTTTAAAAAACCTTCTTTGTTTTTTGTCAATGGCTGGTACAAATAAACAGTTATCAGGGCAGGACAGATATACAGATGTGAAGCGTCACCTGTTATTTTCTGTCTTCTTTTGCTCCACCTGAGGATAATCAATTTCATCACATCCAAGGGATGTAGAAATTGGTTTTCCCCTTAATTCACCTGATACCTAGTTGGAGTTGCAAAGACAGAGAGTATAATTAAATCTTGTTTGAACCTGGACATTGTCTCCCTCCCTCGTGCCTCTTTTCAGCAGAAGGTTAATATGCGACCCAGTTAATATAAATTCTAATTTTAAAACGCAATCTTAAAAAACAAAAGTCTATCTCTTTTACAGGCCATGTTTCCCTTGATGTCTCGATGCCTTTTCTTTTTTCCATTCTTAACATAGTGGTTGGAACTGTGTCTTAGAGAGCCTAGGGCAGATTTGGCAATGATGAAAAATTCCAATAAAAGTTAAAACTTCCCTGCAAAAGTTAGTAAGTAATTTCATAAAATTAATCTTTTACCTCTAATAGGTATGCTTTTTTAAAAAAAAACAAGAGAGAGGGAGAGATTTTAGCCCATGGTTTAAGGGTTTCAGAGTTTTAATAAACAAACAGGTCAGGCTCCCAAGGTCCACATTTTAGGGAGAATAAAACATAAAATCCTACACTAACATTTTACTGAGTTGTACTGAAATGATTTGTTTCATTCCCCCAGGAAAGAGAGTTCTGGTTTTATTCACCTCTGTAAGCCCAGTCCCTAGTGAAGACTATCACATAGTAGCCCCCTAATAAATAAGTAGGGGTTAAATAGAATTGAATTAAACTTGGTTCAGGTGTACTTATCAGCAGAATCATAAGTAATGTTCATATCACCTATGGATTGGTGTTTACCAACTTACTTGCAGATGACAAATGCATCGCCTAGAACAGGGCTCAGCAAACTTTTTCTGGAAAGGGTCAGACAGTAAACATGTCAGGCTTTGTAGCTCTTTATTCTCTGTAACCTATTCAACTGTGTCTTTGTAGTGCGAGAGCAGGCAGAGATAGCATGTAAACAACTGGGTATGGCCATGCTCCAGTAAAACTTATTTGCTAAAACAGATGGTGGGCCTGCAGGTTACAGTTTTCTAACCCTTGGCTTAGAGAAATGTTCCCATTATAGGATGACACTCTTACTTTTCCTGGAACCTTGTCCACATCATGTATATATCTAATTCCAGGATGCTTCTTGGCAACCGCCCACTTACAGAAGGGCCTGCCCAAGCATGCCTCCTCTGGTTCTGAGTGGAGGGCTTGCCTGGTTGAGGTACATATTGCCCCCAAGCCCAAGATGTGATTTGGGGATGGGAGGGTCTATGGTACACTTAAAACGTCCAATAATTGGGTGTTTA